CTTAATGCTAAATGCGGTTGAAATTAACGCTTTTGAGATGTTTCTGTGTGTGCAGTGATGGTGAGAGAGATGCGAATAGCGTTTCGAAAATTCCACGATGATTTATAGTGGATCTCTTTTCGAATAACTCAACTCATTTTTATGTAAATCGAAAAATCATCAGTCTCACTTCCTGTTCTATTTCGATCCTAGAAAATATGCTTGCGATTAGTGCGGCAGCTTCGATTTAAACTGAGCGCTTTCCGGTGATTGTGCATTATGCGATCATTCTGATTATCTTTCAGCAATTTGCCACCTAAAAATTATCAGATTATGTGATTTCACTTTACTTAACACTTTACTTAACAGCAGTTCGTTACTGAAAATCTTAATCGTAGATTGTGGGATATATTGCGAATCGTAAGTGGCGATTATGCGACAAATTAGTGGTGGATCGTTTTTGAATGCTTTTCTCGACGTGATATAAATGATGAACATTGGTTGAAGTTCGGTGTGATTTTTGTTCTTTTTTTNTTTTTTTAAATAACTAAAGAAGGCATTCATTGAATGGTTATGCGGACTGTCAATAATGAAAGAAATTGTTGTTATTGATGACGGAAGTTGACTTTCATTGAAATGAAAACTTTACTCAATCAATTTTGATAGAATAGCATTGAGAAATACGCACTGAAAGGAAGTTGTAGGCGAGAAACACGATCACACCACATTCGAATTAATGCTTCAGTTTGTAATTTTAATTTGTGCTCAGAACTGTTACCTCTGTCCATGCATTGATACTCGCCTCATCGAAATCAAAACAGTCCATAATCTACCAGCTTCATTATTCAGTGTAATAGGGCATTTTTCGAACGCATTTCATATTCGATGAGAAAACTGTCGATCGATCGTTTTGATCAAATGATGAGCAAAATACTGGCCACTCATCTCGTATCTCTGCAATGAATTTATCTTCTGGAAGTTGAACTTTCATTTATCAGCTCACTGAAATCGTATGCAAGTTTTTTTCTTGAAGTAACCCTACAACAACATCTTCGTAATCGTTCAACGATACAAATTGAATGTTGTATTTTACAGTGAAATTAATCGTTGCAAAAACAAATTGCCACATCTTTTCTATTTGATTGCATTCATCAGTCAACTGAAGCTAATCAGTTTAATTTTGTTATCAAATTTGTTGCTGCTCTTTTTTTCTGCTTCACTTCTTCTCCGATACAATTTGTTCGATGTTCTTTCGTTCGATGCGATTTGTTAGAATTGTGACGTGAATTTGTCAGCGAAAAATTTTGCGATCAACTTGATTATCTCGGAAATTGTTTCGTTCATTGTTGCACACCCTAGTGATTCGTATGTTCATTCGTTGCAATTACTGATACCGCTCCTCAGAGGAACAACAATTATCGTTTGTTTTTTTTTTGGCGCGGGGTAGAGGAGAGTAGGAACCGAAGTGGAAGCACAGGCACAGAATCGCTCAAAAAATGCAGTGTTTTGTCACCATCGGTCAAACTTCAAATTTTATCGGGACTATTGCATCGTATTTGCACTGTTTCCGATTGAAGTGAGTGATTGCAAAAGCAGTGATGAGCGATTCATCATTAATATAGTGCACAGGTTAGGTGCACAATCTGTTTTTGAACAAAGCCATTCATGCAAACAACTAACTAACTCATTTCCTCTCAATGACATTGTGTGAAGAATGAAATTTTGAGAATTTTTAATTGTGAATGGCTATTGTTGTATAGAATATAAGATGATCATTTTGAGTAGTGCAGTTTATTGAATCAAAACGTGTCGATAATGAATACAATCTCAATAAGATGATAGCAATTGGAAATATTCAGTGCAAACTCTCTGCAATAGAGTAATGCAGCAGCAGCACTTTAAAAGAAGACAATTTTGAGCATGCGCTGAAGAAGGCTGCTTTCATTTCGGAGACGAATGTAAATAATGATTGGTGTGGAGTGTGTTATTGAACTTGAGACGTTCGTCATACTTTGTACTATGACCTTAGTGAGTTCCAAAACTGTTTTGCTGCTTACCTCTACTTTCATTTTTGCTTTCTTCAAGAAGTTTTCTTGAATTCGTTGCTCAATTACCCGCCGCATCAATAAAGCGCCATTCAGTCTACTCACTAATCGGTTTTTCCCTTCTTTTTCAATATTAATTCTATTTATTTTGTTCTCGCACTAAATCAATACAAAATCCGTTCAATATCAATCATTATCAAATTTGTTCACAATACACTTTCGCGCAGCATTTGCGCACACGATTACACTAAAGTGAACGTTCAAGAGGAGTGCTTTCGGCTTTATTTGATTGTCTTTTTTTTGGCGAAATTTTTACGAGTATTTGTCAATTTGAAGCTGTGAACGAGCGTACACTGTGCACTGTGAATGTCACCATTAAAGCTTACCTATGAACGCAATTCGTGAATTCATCCCGACTGCGAGCATATCTATCAACAGTCACTGTTCTAGTACCATCCATATGAGGTGAAGAACGTCTGCTATTGTAAACTTTCGCATTCGGAAAGGATGAAGCAATAGAAGAGTGTATTCGAAGAAAGGCGTTACAAAAACTGTTTTGAGGATAAAAGGATAAACGAACGTCTTGATGAGACACACACACACATATGTTGTTCATCTAGGAGAGTTTTGGATGGAAAAAGTTGGAATGAAATGGATGTGCTAGAGAGGATGTAACGTTCCACATCCGATCAGAGCACATTTCCGTTCCGTTCGCTAGAGCAGCCACAGCTCGAGCTAGTAGTGTAGTGTTGTTAGGGCGACTACTGGCTGCAAAGCAAATCTTCTTGCGATTGGCTGGCTGGCTCACTCTCGTCTAGTTCATTGCTGTGTCAAGTGTTCCAGATCAAGTCATGATCACGAACTTTTATTATTCACTCTGAGCACTGCTTGATTGATACGTTTATCAATCATGGTTAACCAACAGAACAACTGGAATGTTCAAGCAATTTTTCATTCAATAATTCGAATGTACCAAACTTCATCAATTATTACCGATAAATCTCATGTCTATGATACATATGCACGTAATCGTCCAATGAATATGTACAAAAATGTTTCATTAATTGTCCACTCAAACTACATTTAATTAGTAACAGCGATCTGAAACATCCTCCTCTATTCAACATTCATTTTTCTGCACGTTTTCTCTTTGGATTGGCTGTGTCTGCAAATTTTATGAAGTAAATGTTGTGAGCAATCCAATTTCGTGACTCCAAATGCTTCTCACAAGGTGTTGAATGTAAATTTTGGCTGAAAAGCAATTGACCTAAGTGGGTGATTTAACCGGAAAATATGATAAAGTATGTTCATATAGCAACTGTTTGTGCGTAACTTCGATTGATAGTTTGTTTATTGGGTGCATTTAGTGTGTTATTTGCATAACTTTCGCTAAAGGTGATTTTTATTGAAAATTGGTTGGAACTAACATTCTGTGATGATAGCATTGAAGGAAGGAAATTCAAAAAATGCAACGAGTAATGTAAAGTTGATAATGATAGTCAGCATTGACTGGTTGAAATGAAATGAATTAGCGAAGAGTGTTGCTGAGCACTACATAAAAACTATCAGAACATCGAAAACAATAATAACAACAACACCAATATTAACACTAATCATTTACTGCTGTGTTTAGTTTAAAATTTCTTTTATCAGCGGCGGATGTTATCGATGAATATTAGCAGCACTTACAACGACTACTTCTCCCTCAATTTGAACTCACATTCACCCATCCCATTTTCAAACGCTCTCGTTCGTCTTCTCAGCACCATTATGAACAGTCAAAACCATTTTGAATTTGTTTGAAGATAGAATGCTGTTGCATCGCCATGCAGTGAATGTAGCATTTTGCTGTATGAGTTTAGCAAACGAGGTCTTGTGTAAAGCCAGCACGTTTACGTGCCTCTCAAAATCGGTTCCTTATGTGCCATTCAAAAAAGGACGATGCATCAACTCATAACGACTTTCATAATGAGCTCGTTTCATTGAAGCTCTCCGAAGAAGGCATCGTTAAAATTGTATGCGAGCCAAAGCATCGGCCTGATCCGGGTGATATCGATCAACAGAGAAAGCCATAAACTAATATAGTTTATTGCCTTATGCTTTCATCCGAAAATTATCACAAAATCAAAATTTCACACGCTTATTTTTACAACCTATGATATGATCATAACGATTAGTTTCTCATGAGGATAATTGATGACAATAACAGAACAGCCTGAACAGCAGCCAGTAGACTGTATGCAGTACGAGATCTGTATCTTTGAAGTGTCGTAATGGAATGTTTTTATTTTATGACCAGTTTAATGAAACAAAAAACTGACGTTGTGATTTTGTTGCGATCTTATCGAACACAAAATTCACATTCCTTTCAGTGTCTTCGCATATTTCAGACAACGTCGAATGCCAATTTATATCATAGTTAAATGATCATTCCATTTATCAATCATCGTTAACTGATTCCGTTAATTCTCAGTTCGAATTTCGCTTCTTCCTCAAACTTATCGTTGTTTCGCTATCTGTTAGGTTTTTGTTTAGATAATTGTTTAGTGCAATACCGATTGTAATCTAAACGTTCGAATAGAACGCTATTTCATAGGATCGTTTTCATTGGTTGTTATGTTACGTGTATTTGCTAAATGGCAGTCATCTATTTCGTGGGATATCCGAATTGATGATAGCGATCATGGAATTGAGTTCAATTTTTGCAATCATTATAAGGTCACAATGCGGATTTCGATATCGTTATTGATCAGCAAATGTGTAATCTGAACTGTTTTTACTAATTTCAGTAGTCTGGTGCATCTACTGAGGGAGCTTCGAGTATTGAAGTGCAGCAGTGGAATGAGTATAGAGGTGGCCCGTCACTGAGCAAAGAAAGTCGTTTAGCACAACGTACGAGTTGTCTGTTTTATTGCGGAACGCCGTGCCCACGGATCGTAATCGTGGACACACGTCGGGCCCCTCCAAAGGGGCGTTATGCCTAAGGTTGACCAACCGGCTGCTGGGCCGCACCACAATACCGGACAAAGCTCGAAGCCTAAGCCCCCCTCTAGTGTTGTTTCCAAACCGGAGTGCTTTCTTGTTTTATTTGTACTCGTCATTGTTGCGAGTATTTTCTCCTCTCCATATTTGCACCACAATTCCCCCGTTAAGAGTATCTTCTCAACAACATCATCACAAAACGCACCTTCTAGTACCCTCAGAGCCAAATACACAGGTCAGTTACACAATCCGTTTGCGTTTGCTATTAATGACAACGTTCATTCGATCAATTACCTCTTCCTTGCAATTCTTTCGCGTTAACAAACTGCTCGTAAATCTTGTCTTTTACGAAAATACTTGCACTTGCTAAGTGCTTTCTTTCCAATCAGCAAATTACTTTTCGAAAAGTTCACAGCACTTTTGCAATAATCTCATCGTTGCTGATATGGAACTTGCACCGAAACGACCATCTATTGAACGCTCAAACTGCTGTCATCATCACTAGACACCAAACAGTTTTTATCATTATCGTCGAATTAGCAGAATCGTGTGTGTGTATGTGCACAACATCACCGCTGATTTATTTGTTTCGTTCGAACATTAAATGTTAATACAGTAATTTGATACGTTTGCTACAACTCGAACATCACTGTTTAAGTTGCAACAGTAGTGTTAAAGGTTTCGAGCAGCAGCAGCATCAAACACCACCAATACATCAGAAATTAATTGATCGTTTTCACGAGTGTAAAACTTTCATGAATTCATCAGTACTTTGTTATAGTGAACATTTTTTCGTTTCTGATTTAAATGCATTACGGTTCTCATCGAACGTTCAATCGATTGATTACTGAAATATATCCATCTCTATGAACTGAGTTCATAGTAAACATAATCATCCAACTGATTAACACGATCAGCCCCGAAAGCGTTCGCATCGAAGCAATTAGCTACGCTCAACTCGCTTATTCAGCCCAACAAACGTCAGCGTTCAACTCGAAAAGGGCGAATGCACTGTTATGTGTCTGTCCTCAAACATATCAGCACAAATGATTTATGATTTGAGTTCACTATCGATATGATGAAATATCTCTATCCACTCCTCTCAACCATAACGACTGATCCTAGTAAATCAAAATCATTATTTTGGATCTGATACATTCAGAGAAGTGTTTTTTTGCAAGTCACCGAAACCACCCAAAAAATGGTTTTTAATCATTGAGGATGTCGCCAACAGGAAGGGCCGATCAACTATAAATCATGCACTTCTTTTGAACATGATTTGTTGTTCACCCGAAGTTTACAATGACAATGTGTTGTTAACATTTGGAATGATTGTTAACATTTCATTTTGTGTGATCAGTTTTTTCGCGAGAAAAACACTGAGCGAACCAATGGTGATATTAGAATGCTGTGCATTTATGAGGAAGTTCTTTCAATTTTTTGGAATACACAGTTGATGAATTCGAAGCAATCNACAAAACAATCAATTATCCTCAGTGATCCAACTTAATGATCCACTTTACCGTTTTTAGGTTCACAAGTCGATAGTCATTGAAACATGCTTGAAATTTGATGACGTTCGTCCGTCGACTGTAATACACACATTGCACAGTGTTTGTTGCTTTTCACTATGAACTGTCGTCGAATGAACATAACTTTGTTCAGATCAAAAAGTCCCCCAGTAACGAAATGCTCAATACTTGAGAGTTTGCAACTCAATTTGTCTCTTACAACAGTCGTCTAGTGGATGAATAAATCATCTGCAATCATTTACTTTTGCGTCTTCATCTTTATCTCAGCATATACGTTACGATGTCAATGTAGGTACAATAGTGGATGAAGGTGAAAGTCACTCGTTATCTTTATTTTCAACTGAATTTTTGTTTTTTCTTTCATTAGCATTCTCTCAAAAAATAAAACAAAACTGTAACTTTTTAGGCGATTCTTTCATTTCGTTCGCTTTGACGCATTTCACTTTTCATCGATCTCTGCTACCGTTATATGACGCACAATCATTGCTTGTCAGCATTTGCTCACTCCATCCCTAACTCTCTGCCATTGTATTTTTATGCGCAAATAATCAACGTTCAGTTGATTAGATAGAATATTCTCAATGTGAACCATTTCCAGACGCAGTTCATTACAGCTAACGAAAAAGTGTCCCTAATTTGCAAAAATGTTGAAGGTGTTAGTAAGTGATGTTCCTTAAATGATCATTAAACGATGAGAAATAATTGGAATAGCAGTAATGTTCATGCTAATATTATCATAGCAGTATCTATAGCAGTAACAGAGAAAGACATAATGGAAGCGATAACACTGACGCACCTGTTATCACACATTATCAGTGTATATCGTCATTTGCACACTTTAATCCGATAAGAACGACGAAAGAAACACTGCCGATTCCATAATTCATGTCGGATGTGCAAATGACCTTCACTTAACTCTATACAAAACTCTTCATGAGGGCAATATGCAATAGGTATTCAACCAAATGTGCAAAAACAACCTCAAAAGAAGACTGACTCATAACTTCTGTTAGTTCGTCTTACCAGCAACAGAGAAGAATATCGGTTCATAGCTATCGTTCAAATAGATCGAAAAGAACGTTGCAAAAATTTGCCCCATTCGCTTCGATCAAAATCAATTTGCAAGAGTCAGTCCATAATGAATATTTACTCGTTCTGATATGTGCCAGCTCGAGCGTTTCCAGTTATTCCATTAGCCTCATAGTAAGCTTCTCAACGAAAAGCATCAATAGCAAAGAGAATTCATAGTGGAAATGATCAAAAATTGCAATAGCAAGCTGCGTGAGCAAATTTGTTTTCTTAATGATCAATTAAAACGGAGAAAATAATAACAACTGAAATGTTGGTTTCAACATACGAGTCATTTGCTGAACACTTTCGGATTGAGATGTCTTTCCTCAGTTACACTTTTCCGTGAGTAATTTGCAATTGTCAATGAAGAAGTCAGCTTCAATCAAACAGAGTTATCACATATTCGGTTCCTTTCTTCATGAGTAGGAAAACGCTTGGGACAAATTTTTATCTTTATTTTCACAGATCAAGTAAGTAGCATTGAGACCTTTCATTCATATTCTTCCGACTGATTTGGGTTAATCAAAATCTATTGTTTGTCAGATTTCCAATCGAGTTCAGTAGACAACGCATCGAGACAATTTCTTGAACCTACGGACTGTGCCACAGCATTGTTCGAACATGATTATCAGCATCTGGATACTTTTAACATGAACTTTTCAAGCACTTATTGTAAGGAGCAGAAAAATATCACCGCTTTTTTATTCGATCACTTCAAAGATGCACTCACAATGTCATTCAAATAGACCTATGTCATTGCACACCAGTTTTTCGATTTTTTTTTGCACCAATGTTCTGGTTGGAAATGGATTGAAATGTACAGAAGCTGAGAACATTCGAATGGTCGTTTCTACCTGTAAAAACACAAAGTATGAATGGCCAGATAAACACTTCAAAATCAAAAGATAGCGCACAGAGTCAATTCCAGAACACAGATCTGCCAATCCTCTCAGTTCAATGTCCTCACTATAGACAGCCTCTGAACACATTCAAATGGTCGGCTGTTCAATTGTAGACATTGAATTAATCGTAACCTTTTTGTAATATTTATCATGAAAAAAACTGAAATTTAAAGGGACGAAGTTAGAAGATGGTGAATTGTGGTTGCTCAATCGACAAGAAACGAGACGAAGACGTTCATTGTGGAGCGATAGGAGACGGCATGCAGTCCATGGATTGGCACGGGACTGTGGACATAGCTGCTCATTCAGACTGCGACACAACTCGAAGCCAAGCAACGACATGCGCATTCGTCTCGTCAGATGGATGCAGCTGCCAAAACCCCACAACAAGTGATCTATCACTCCACTTTCTATCGTTTTCACTCGGCATGTTTCGTTTCAGCTGATCAACTAAAACCGATGGAATGTTTTTCTGAACTCTGCATTCAGAAATCAACGCGAACTGCTCATGAAATCAGTAGCATATCACGTTACTTGATAGTCCTTTCTGCTATACTGTAGCACTTAGCATTGACTAAACCTGAACTACACAATTATCTATCATATGGATGAGTAAAGAACACACAGAATTCGGTGCGTGCGAGAAGCCAGACTTGTAAGGGAGTCTTTTTTTTTCAGGTCGTTACCAGTGCTCGAAAATCAACGATTGCGACCGATCGTACAGTATGTCGAATCTGAGGACGCGATGCAGGCACGTGTCTCTAGATTCGTACCCGACTGTCTCTATAGCGCGCACATCGACGGCGCTAAAGAGTCCTCCATCGTCAATTTGTGCGATACGCACGGTGGCCTGGTTAGTGAAGCAATCCTTGTATTTGCATATCATTGCATCCGATCGACCCCTAACGTTTGTCAACTTCATGGAAGTCAATATTGAATTATTTCGCCGAATGAACAGCTGATGAATTGAAGTGTAACGCAGTTTCATGATTATTTGCACAAAGTTAATTTCTACTGCATATTTTGCACATGCATAACTGCGCAAGATCATGAGCTGAATTGTATGGACGCAGTGTGTGATAGTGCAAAGTGAAGTGAGGCGAGCGAATTCGATTAGCACCTGAGAGAATGACTAAATTTGAAGACACTCTCGAAAGTCGATTCGATGTTTTTATTTTGATACTGATGAATTACACTTCGAATTTGAACTGAGCATTTCGTTGATTTGAAGCACATTTCCGAAATTTTTGATCGTAATGATATTTAAAAATTCAGAGGTATGAGGCATTAATTCAAAGTTGAGGAATGCTACATTTATGACGAAATCGCCCAAAAGAATGTCGCATATGAATGCAATGCTTGTAAATAGCACATGATCGAGTCATTTTATCATTTCAACATGCAAAAATAAACATAATTTAGCGCTTTTTGGTGACTGTAATCCGCGACAGATTTTTGCACNGACCGAACGCTTATAGCACTTCGTTGGTGGTAATTTAAAAATAAACTGAAATCAACAAGACAATAAATGCGGCGTGAGAATTATTTTTTAGTTTTTTGGCCGTCTCTTAAGCTTCTAATCTCCTTAGGAAGACGCCGACTGTTGGCGTATCAAAGTCATAAATTTCGAAAAAAATTAATTCGATCATTGCGTTGATTTATTTGTGCGCTGCTGACGAGCAACACCTTAATGATAAACTCCTTTTGGAGGGACGCAAAATTGCTTGTTTGACAATCAAACTGAAACATTTTCCACACAATTACAACGAGTGCATCCACATTTTGCATTCGATAGCACATCGACCGTGATTTTCTGATGTGCCAGTTGCGATAGTGTCTCTTAATATCAATTCAGTTGCAATTATCAAGACATTCGCCAAAACATTGCCATGAACAATATCTGAAAAGAAAATTCAAAAAACCATTTAATGTCATATGTCAAGTTTTTAGTTAGTTGAAAGTGGCTAAGCTGAAGCACATATTGAGATTGCAGTGGAAGTTGAAGCATTTTGGAAAAGAACACAATCTTGCAACAATACTCGATCAGTTCAACAAGGCAAAACGAAGAAATGAAAGCGTCTCCTGTACCTGATAGTATCTATCGATGATGTTCAATGGTTTGAATGTATTTTCAGTTTGGTACGTTGGCTTTACCAGACGGGACATACCTGATGATAGAGCCGTTGGAGGAACGAAGTAGGCGACATTTGTCCGATTTGAAGCAGCCACAAAGTTTGCTTGGCGGTCGGTCGGAGTGGTCGCATAAACCGCATCTCGTGTACAAATCTCGATCTCATTCATTCCACAGATATGATTATTCTACTGCAAATAGTTCTGATGCTGATTACAATTCTCAATCTCTACATGCTACTACTATTAACACTGTCGACGTTTTATCTGATGAAACTTCCAACTACAACACTGCCCACAATGACAACACTGCTTCTCATTCTACTTCTTCTGATCACAACGATGATCAACTCTTCACACCGCCCGACGATTGGATTGATATTAAATGTTAGCTTCTGTTTTTACTTCTGTTTTGTTTNAAACTGTTCAGAAGAATCTGACAAAAACGGACAATCAAACGGATTTCACGAAAAGATGTTTGAATGTTTGAGCTAAGCATTCTTCCGTCATTCAGTACTCTCGCTGAATTTTATTTGCTTGTTTCTGCGTCTGTTTATCCTGCAAAAGCTGCTCATATCCGCAGTAGACACACGAAAAAAAGCACAGCCATTTTTCATCGTTCTCTGTACGATCTATTAGCAAAAATTTGCACACAAATAATCGCTCGCTTTCTCATTGATGAGCAGTGGTGGTTCACAGAGAAAAAATTAAAACGAACCGATTTGAACTACAACAATTTGGCACGTAAATGCTGTAAATCTAATTTTCCTGAAGTGTCAGCTTTCCAGTATTTTATGCACTATTTACACAGCGCAGCAGCAGCAATTGCTCTTGCATTGCAACTTGTTGAAAAATCTCCATTCATTCATTCACTCACTCACTCACATAAGAGCCTACGCCATCTTCACAACAACATCAAAAAAAACGTTATTTTTACTATTCGTGTTTTTTTTTCGCTGCAAAATCAAATTTCCATTAAGCAGCAGGCGGCAAAATTGCCAACAATTCGTTTCGGATACGGTTCGAGACACTTGAACAAGCAAGCTTTAATTCGAGTGACTACACGATACCCATATAGCGAGAAGTTGAGAATCTGAATCTGCAAAACCCTACATGATCTAGGAAGCATTACAAAAATCCTCTTGATCAGTTTATGATTTCAAATTTTTCCCAAACAATTTATGCACCGATTCCAACCAAGTTTTATGAGTGTTGAATAACGAAAGCGGAAAAATCATTTGATGAAGTGATTCAAACTATTGAACATTAAAAAATCGATGTGAAAACGATACCGCTGATATTCTACGGTGTATAACTGTTGATTGGTCTGGTGCAAAACGAAGCAATCACTTGCTAAGGGCACAATTAGATTCAACACAAACCAAAGACCTGGCTGATAATGGAGTAACGATTGACAGTTATCAAACTGAAAGATGATTCGAAAAACTGCTCGAATTATGCGATGTTGCAATTTTGAGTGGATCTGTTCCGACTGAATGAAAGAAGAGACGCTTAAGCAAGCCATCACAACCGATTCACATCATCGTTCACGGATGTGTTCCGCTTCGGTGTTTTTAAGTGGTCATTTTTTCGCAAAGAAGAAATGACAGTGAACGATAACAGCTGATGAATTTTGGCTTTTTGAGAGCAACGCAGAGGAAGGATGTGATTTTTTGGAGTGAACAGTTAAGATAGTTATCGCAAGATAGAGCATATGAAGAGAGCGAAATTCCTTTCTTAATTGTTGAGAAATTCTGAGCATAATGACGTTGTCATCTTCAGCAACACAAAGTGAACGTTTTGACTGGATGGATGGATGGATGGATATTTGTTTTACGTTCCAATCATTTCGTTAGATATGTGCTGCTACTGCTGCTAATGCAAAAATGAGTTGCACCATGTGGTGTACAAATGAACGCAAAACTGCACTTATCTAAAGCTAGAATCGAATTTTCTATATTATCCATCGCATCCAAGTAGACATCACAAACTGTTTTCACACTGATCTCGTCTTCTCGCAATAAACGCTGAAGTCAACGTGAAACACCACTATGAAAATGCTGCAGTCCTAACACCAGCGAGGACGATAGCAAAGACACACTTCAAGCAATGTCCTTTCGAGAATCATATCAGCTATCTGTTGTCAGGGAAGATATCACTTGAAGCGAATATCTGATTTAAACAATGAAACTCTGATCAAAATTATCAGTTAGTGTATTTGATAGGTATTCGAAAGATACTTATGAGAATGAAGAAGATGTAATGTCGATATCGATGTACTATCGGCTGATTGATTGATTGATTGAATGTTAT